AAGGCGCGCCCAAGCCAGTCCAAGCGCGCCACCCAGTGCCATCTGTCCCGGGTCCCATGCCTGCCACGCAAAACGACGGTAGATGTGAGTTTGTGCCACGCCTGCCACGCAGAACGAACGTGAATGTCACCAAGTGCCACGCCTGCCACGCAGAAATGCCGCGGCGTCACGCGCGACCAAGGCGCGCCCAAGCCAGTCCAAGCGCGCCACCCAGGGCCATCTGTCCCACGCCTGCCACGCAAAACGATGGTAGATGTGAGTTTGTGCCACGCCTGCCACGCAGAACGAACGTGAATGTCGCCAAGTGCCGCGCCTGCCACGCAGAAATGCCGCGGCGTCACGCGCGACCAAGGCGCGCCCAAGCCAGTCCAAGCGCGCCACCCAGTGCCATCTGTCCCGGGTCCCATGCCTGCCACGCAAAACGACGGTAGATGTGAGTTTGTGCCACGCCTGCCACGCAGAACGAACGTGAATGTCACCAAGTGCCACGCCTGCCACGCAGAAATGCCGCGGCGTCACGCGCGACCAAGGCGCGCCCAAGCCAGTCCAAGCGCGCCACCCAGTGCCATCATGTCCCACGCCTGCCACGCAAAACGACGGTAGTTGTGAGTTTGTGCCACGCCTGCCACGCAGAACGAACGTGAATGTCGCCAAGTGCCACGCCTGCCACACAGAAACGCCGCGGCGTCACGCGCGACCAAGGCGCGCCCAAGCCAGTCCAAGCGCGCCACCCAGGGCCATCCGTCCCACGCCTGCCACGCAAAACGACGGTAGATGTGAGTTTGTGCCACGCCTGCCACGCAGAACGAACGTGAATGTCACCAAGTGCCACGCCTGCCACGCAGAAATGCCGCGGCGTCACGCGCGACCAAGGCGCGCCCAAGCCAGTCCAAGCGCGCCACCCAGGGCCATCTGTCCCACGCCTGCCACGCAAAACGATGGTAGATGTGAGTTTGTGCCACGCCTGCCACGCAGAACGAACGTGAATGTCGCCAAGTGCCGCGCCTGCCACGCAGAAATGCCGCGGCGTCACGCGCGACCAAGGCGCGCCCAAGCCAGTCCAAGCGCGCCACCCAGTGCCATCTGTCCCGGGTCCCATGCCTGCCACGCAAAACGACGGTAGATGTGAGTTTGTGCCACGCCTGCCACGCAGAACGAACGTGAATGTCACCAAGTGCCACGCCTGCCACGCAGAAATGCCGCGGCGTCACGCGCGACCAAGGCGCGCCCAAGCCAGTCCAAGCGCGCCACCCAGGGCCATCTGTCCCACGCCTGCCACGCAAAACGATGGTAGATGTGAGTTTGTGCCACGCCTGCCACGCAGAACGAACGTGAATGTCGCCAAGTGCCGCGCCTGCCACGCAGAAATGCCGCGGCGTCACGCGCGACCAAGGCGCGCCCAAGCCAGTCCAAGCGCGCCACCCAGTGCCATCTGTCCCGGGTCCCATGCCTGCCACGCAAAACGACGGTAGATGTGAGTTTGTGCCACGCCTGCCACGCAGAACGAACGTTGTGTGTGTTAAGTTTGTGTATGTGAAGTGATTGTATGTTAAGTTTGTGTATGTGAAGTTATTGTATGTTGAGTTTGTGTGTGTTAAGTTTGTGTGTGTTAATTTATTGTATGTTAAGTTTGTGTGTGTGAAGTTATTGTATGTGAGATTATTGTATGTTAAGTTTGTGTGTGTGAAGTTATTGTATGGTAAGTCTGTGTGTGTGAAGTTATTGTATGTGAAATTATTGTATGTTAAGTTTGTGTGTGTGAAGTTATTGTATGTTAAGTTTGTGTGTGTGAAATTGTTGTTGTTAAGTTAATGTATGTTAAGTTTTTGTATGTTAAGTTTGTGTGTGTTAAATTATTGTTGTATGTGTAAGGAGGTTATTGTTTTATGTGTAAGGAGGCGGGAGGAGGAGGAGAAGGAGCCCGGGATACAGAATGAAAAACAAGAACCCCACACAAAGTTGTGGGGAACAAGAACCCCACACAAAGATGTGGGGAATGAAGAGGTACCTGCCAGCGATACGTAGGTCGGCAAAACCAAGGAAACGCGTAATTGCTGTCTGACTGCATGCTGTCAAATCTCATCCAACACAAACATGTCACAGTGTATGCAAAAGTGCAAGTGATGGAGCAGAGGTACCTGCCAGCAATACGTAATGCCGCGAAAGCAAGGAAACGTGCCATTGCTGTCTGACTGCATGCTGTCAAATGGCTACAGATGACGCAGGTACTAAAATCTCATCCAAACACAAACATGTCACAGCGTGTGCAAAAGTGCAAATGCCACAGCAGAGGCACATGCCAGCGATACGTAGTGCCGCGAAACTAAGGAAAGGTGTCATTGCTGTCTGACTGCATGCTGTCAAATAGCTACAGATGACGCAGGTACCAAAATCTCATCCAAACAGTGACATGTCAAAGCCTGTGCAAAAGTGCAAGTGCCACAGCAGAGGTACCTGCCAGCGATACGTAGGGCCGCGAAACGAAGAAAAGGTCGACGCCTGCCACGCAGAATGCACGTACATGTCGCCAAGTGCCACGCCTGCCACACAGAATCGACGCTCGATGTCGCCAAGTACCACGCCTGCCACGCAAACAGCCGCGGCGTCCACGGCGTCCAAGTGCCACGCCTGCCACGCAGAATCGACGCTCGATGTCGCCAAGTACCACGCCTGCCACGCCAAAAGCCGCGGCGTCCACGGCGTCAACTGCATGTGAGACCGTGCCATAAGTGCCACGCCTGCCACGCAGAATCGACGCTCGATGTCGCCAAGTACCACACCTGCCACGCAGAATGCACGTACATGTCGCCAAGTGCCGCACCTGCCACGCAGAATCGACGCTCAATGTCGCCAAGTGCCACGCCTGCCACGCCAAAAGTCGCGGCGTCCACGGCGTCAACTGAGACCCAAGTCCAAGCGCGCCACGGGAGCCAGCCCAGTGCCATAAGTGCCACGCCTGCCACGCAAAGTGATGATCCATGTCACCAAGTGCCACGCCTGCTAGGCAAAGTGAAGGTCCATGTCACCATGTCACCAAGTGCCAGCCCGCCTGCCACGCCAAACAGCCGCGGCGTCCACGGCGTCAACTCAGCCCACAGTGCCACTGCACATCCATGTCACGCGCGCCATGAGTGCCACGCCTGTCCACGTGCCCAGTGCCGTATAGGTGCCACGCCTGCCACGCAAAGTGATCCACGCCTGCCACGCCAAAAGCCGCGGCGTCCACGGCGTCAACTGAGACCCAAGCGCGCCACCAGAGCCAGCCCAGTGCCATAAGTGCCACGCCTGCCACGCAAAGTGACGATCCATGTCACCAAGTGCCACCCCTCCCACGCAAAGTGAAGGTCCATGTCACCAAGTGCCACGCCTGCCACGCAAAAAGCCGCGGCGTCCACGGCGTCAACTGAGACCCAAGCGCGCCACCAGAGCCAGCCCAATGCCATGAGTGCCACGCCTGCCACGCAAAGCGACGATCCATCCATGTCACCAAGTGCCACGCCTGCCACGCAAAGTGAAGGTCCATGTCACCAAGCGCCACGCCAAAAGCCGCGGCGTCCACGGCGTCAACTGAGACCCAAGCGCGCCACCAGAGCCAGCCCAGTGGCATAAGTGCCACGCCTGCCACGCAAAGTGAAGATACATGTCGCCAAGTGCCACGCCTGCCACGCAAAGTGAAGGTCCACGTCACCAAGTGCAACGTCTGCCACTTGAAACGAAGGTTGATGTCTCAAAGTGCCACGCCTGCCGGAGAGCAACTTGTGTGAGGGCAAGTTGTGTGTGAGCAAGTTGTGTGTGAGCAAGTTGTGTGTGAGCAAGTTGTGTGAGGACAAGTTGTGTGAGGACAAGTTGTGTGAGTGCAAGTTGTGTGATGACAAGATGTGTGAGGACAAGTTGTGTGTGAGCAAGTTGTGTGAGGACAAGTTGGTGAGGACAAGGTGTGTGTGAGCGACTCTCAGCATACTATTCGTGGGGATCACAGCTCCCCACTTCAACTTTCTTCAATTGAGATTTCCCTTGATCAAGGGGGAGAATACACATTCTCACTGACACATGGACATGTGCATTGACAATGATGCAAATGATAAACATGCCTGCAGTCGCGCGTGAGCACAGCACTTTTTGGACTGCACAAGGCATGGGGTCGAGCAGTCTCAATGGTTGATCACAAACATGGTGGGCTGCAAGATCTGTCTCCAAGCAAACGAGAGCGGTGACAGGCACTGAGCTCAAACGCAAATTGACAGGTCGGAGCCAGCTGTCAGACCTAAACTCTTATATGCCAAAAAGGAGCAAAACAGATTCTACCCATCTGAAAAAGGACTGTATATCTCCATCCACTTCAGAAGCAAAATTTGGTGGGTTGTGGAGACTTCCCAACCCACCCCCATTCAGGGGTGGGCTGGGCGGGAGAAAAATCCTTCAGGCTGGAAGTGATCACTCTCTTGAGTCCAAAATGGCAAAGGCCAATCGTCCTGAGCATTCAAACGATCGTGCATGCCATGACTCAATATCAGATCACCAGATATATAATAAAAATAATAAAAGATATATCCACGAACGGGAGAGTATATATGATCAGAGAAAGGTGAACAGTACTCCAGAGTCCTTCGCTTGTTCCAGACCTACCTCACCGAAAACATGCAAACGACTCTCAGCATACTATTCGTGGGGATCACAGCTCCCCACTTCAACTTTCTTCAATTGAGATTTCCCTTGATCAAGGGGGAGAATACACATTCTCACTGACACATGGACATGTGCATTGACAATGATGCAAATGATAAACATGCCTGCAGTCGCGCGTGAGCACAGCACTTTTTGGACTGCACAAGGCATGGGGTCGAGCAGTCTCAATGGTTGATCACAAACATGATGGGCTGCAAGATCTGTCTCCAAGCAAACGAGAGCGGCGACAGGCACTGAGCTCAAACGCAAATTGACAGGTCGGAGCCAGCTGTCAGACCTAAACTCTTATATGCCAAAAAGGAGCAAAACAGATTCTATACCCGGGCCCTTCCGAGCGACGATGGCCACACAGGCTTAACTGTGGACCAACCAGTTGCTTCCCCTAACCATAACTTGTTTCTGGATGGCCAATCAGCTGGATTGGCGTCTGTTGAAATTCGATCAATGAAAACTCTAACTCTCAGCGCGAGCGCAATTTCCCAAAACAAAGTGATGATTTCACACATATCTTCACGGCTCGAATATCCTTTCACGAGCGCAGCTTCGACAGACTCTGAGTCGATGAGCAGGATCAGATCTGCTTCGAAGAGCCGGTCAGCAAACGTAGTGAGAGCAACGACAGGAGCAAGCATCTCAATGGGCATGATCTGCGTCGCTCTTTTCAGCCATCGATGACTGATCTTCGGAGGCACCACTGCAGTGAACTGCCTCGGGCTCCGCACTCTTCGATCAAACATAACATCACCAATCCGATCAGGACTCCGGTCCGAAGACCTCGGGTCCGGGGTGAAGCCGTCCGTGAAGATCACCACGTCTGTCAGGCGCTCACGAGCTAAATCTATCGGTCTAGGCGGAGAGCAGTCGATCAACTTTCTCCACTGAGCTAGGGACTCAACGAGCTGTGGATCGAGCTTGAACTCAAAGGATGGGGGAAACTTCCAGTATTGGCGCTCAGAGATTGGTCTGAGGAAGGCCCTACCTATCTTCCCCCAAAGCTGGGAGGCGCCAAACATGAGCTTCCCCTTCAGCTTGCCTGCTGAGCCTGGATCCAAAAATCCAGACTGCAAGATGCAATCAATTTCTTCGAGCAGATCGCGTCGCCTGTCCTCCTTGATTTCCAACTGCATGAGCCGCAGGTTGTAGGTCACACCTAAGATCGTTGGATCTGAGGAGAGCTGAAGTTTCTTCTGGTCGAACTTTGCACCTAGCCACCAGTGAACACTTTCAGCAACTTCACGAGCGCTAGCCGCCGACACGGCCGGTTCAAAGCCATATTTGTCATCATAGAAGCTAAACGCCACAAGCTTGAAAAAAGAAACCAAGATCTCGTTGATCGCAGCAGATCGCCTGTTGTAGTTGTACACAGCAGACACCAAACCGAACGAGTGTCCTACCATGACAAAGAAAGCCGGGTTGCCAACTCTTGGAGACTTCAGGCAGATCACAGAAAATTTCCGGTGATCCGGCCGAATGGCCACTTGCCTATAGGCCTTCCTCTCGTCGAGCACCCAACCGAACAATTCTGCATCAGGAGCTGCTGTTTGGAGCTTCCGCAGGGCTGCCACATTTGAATCCGTCGATGGCAGCTGGAGCTTCTCCGTGATCTCTGTGATCTGGTTGATCAAGTTCGTAGTGGCGCTGTCGCACCCACGCACTTTATTCTTTTGGACCACTTCAAACCTCTGCGTAGGGATCCAATCATCTTGACCTAAGAGCTCAGTGACCTCTTCTTCGCTGTCGAAGGGGCCCAAGCAAGAGCCTTCTGCCACATCTTCCAAGGTGGCCTCCCAAATCTTGAGCAAATTGTCAGTCACTGGAACTCCGCGCGCTCTGTTCACTATCTTGGCCCGAATCTCCCAGGCCCTATCCAGAGCATGTTGGACCGCGAGCACCTTCTGAGCCTTCTCAAATGGGGGCCAGCGGCCGGATGGTTGAATAGGACCAACAATGGGAAAACCTTCGAGCAAAAATTTGTGCAAAGAGCGGTCTTCTGACCGGGCTGCCTCGAGCATCTCTTTGTACAGAGCCACATGGCACACGTCGCCCAGCCTTGCTTGGCGGGGATCAGAAGTGCCGAGCAGGAGCCTCCGTAGAGCAGCATCAGGTTGTTACATTGTTGCGTGATCCAATGAATGGAGGTAGGCAAGAGAGCCAATGCCCTGCTGCGCCAAAATTGCAAGGCAGCCGCCCTAAACTTGAGCACTTTCTGTGAGGCAGTGGCCGCCCAATGGATGGCCTCTTCGAGCACTGCCGGCAGGGGGGCTGGCCTCGAGAACGGATGCACCAGTTGGAGAGCAAACTGCACGGCTTCACCAGGTTCAGTTCGATTTCGAACAAAGGCTTGGCGCTTCAACTGGTAGCCGGCGGCCAGAGCTTTGGAGGCTGTCTCGGCTTGCCGATGGCCAGCCCACTCCTTTGCCGAGTGGAGAGCACGCTTCCGATCGGCGCCAGGAACACGTAGCTGAAAAGTCTTGTGGAAATGCGAGAACTGGTGAGCAAAGATCTGCGCAATCTGTTGGGCAATCGTTGCGCACAAAGCCAATGGATACACTTGAGCCTGTTTGGTCTTGAACACCATGCGCTGCTGCTGTGGATCCCAAACCTTGCCCTTGAGTTTCTTGTGAACATGGCCACCTGGACAAGGAACGGCGAGAGCATCTAGCAGTTCCGAGGAGCAGACAAACTTGGTCGGCTTCCTCCACGGTGTGCCAAATGCACATTGATCGCAGTCCAAGTGAAAAGCACGCGTACGGCGTACGAGCAAGGTCAATTGAGGTGTCAACCACCGCAAGCTGAGCAGGGGGTTCTCGATCAGGAAGTCTCCGCCCAAACTGAAGACCAAAAAGCAAGCTTCAACTGCACGCTCCAAAAATAAATTGCCCAAAAAGACCAGGTTGGCGTTGTCCAGACTCAGAGCATCCAGCCCGAGCGGCTGGGCCGCAGAGCGTAGAGGAGGAGGGCCCCCATCTTCTTTGCGAGCTGAGGTGAAAGTATTGCACGGAGTGCCGCAGTGCAAAAAGAAAACTACTCCGACAGCCAAAATCTCCAAGAGCTGCCGCCAGACCACGTAGTCCACCAGATCACGAGGTGTAGTCACCAACGGGGACGGTACGATGTCGACCGGAGGCAGCACCGGCACTCCCGCGAGGTGAACTGCTTCAGTCAGGCCGGCGAGCCGGGCAAAGAGCTCCAAAAAGAAAGGGCCATCCTTCAACAAGCTACGATCATGCAAAATTGAATCCCAATCAGGCCAAAGCCGCTGGGAACCCAGCACCGCTCTCCGATCGGGCGGAGCGACCGCCGGATCATCACTCGTGGGGCTGGCAGCAGCCGCCCAATCACCAGGTGGAGGATCCAGCTCCACCTGGGGTGCCACTGCAGGCGATCAGTGATTGCCATGCCAAGGGTGGTTCTGACCACACTCGGCGCAGCTGTGCTTGAGCTTGCATTGATCACCAAAGCGGCACCCCAAAGAGCTGTTGTAGAAAGGACAGCGCCTCCCACCCGGAGACTTGAACGATGTGATCTTCTGCCACTCCTTGGCTGGGACACGTTCATCTCGAGCAGGCTTGCGAGCCGCCTCTTTGGCAGAAGAACTTGTAAGAGCTTTGGCCTTCTGGACCTGCGCTTTCTGGCGCTCCCTCCGAGCCTTGTTCTTCCGAGCTTTGGCCGTTGACTTCGGCTCTGGCGACACTGACCGAGGGCGCTTCCTGGGTGTCACTTGCGCCGGTGTCAGCGTAGCCTGCTTCTATTTGTCCAGTTCAGCACTGGAGCGAGCGTCATTCCAGAGCTGCTTGTGATTGTCCAACACCTCTACCAAAGCGGCAGAAAAGCTGGTGAACTTCTTGCGCTGGTCTGAACTGACTCTGTGAACTTTCTTGCGGATGAGCGTATCCACGGTCAGCAGCAGAGCAAGTCCTCGATTTTCATGCCTCCACTCCTCGAGCTGGGCCAAATACTTATAAAAGAGGGGACCCGCATCCACAGAGAACTCACAAATGTTGAGGTACTCCATGCAAGGTGATGAAAAATGCGTGGAGCTTATCCATGACCTGGGCTTCGGAGCTTGCTGCTGACGGTTGGTCAATCATGACCACCCGGAGCAGATCTTCGGCGTTCTTGGTCAAGCCGGACTTCTGAGCAATGTTCTCATTGCGGGTCCGAATTTCACCGACCTCGTAGAAGTGAACGAAGCCGTGGACGAGATAGTCGCGCTGAACTCGCTCCACGAAACTTGCGGTGTGGTTCCCGATGTGAGGAGGCAGCAGAACATCAGGATGGCGCGAGACGAACGTCTCCCTGAATTCAGCATGATCTTCCCCAGGGATCTCTGGGACTTTGGATGGATCTTCTTCCATCTTCGCTCGCCGATTTGCAAAATGATCCTGCATCGTACTACAGGTTTTCCAGACTGCGGCGAGGCTGGTGAGCTAGCTAGCTCCTGAGCCGGGCCATCCGCACCAAACGCCGTCACATCTGGCACCAAGCTTTTGAGCGTGTTCTTCACTGCAGCAATGTCATCGCCGAGCATAGCAAAGGTCTCAACCGTGAGCAAGGATGAATTTGCTGCGAGCTTGCATAGTTCCTGTGACACCCTCTGCCGACCAAAAACTTGTCGAAGCGGCAAGTCTGGTGTCTTGTTCTCCTCATAGACGGTGCGGTCCACCATTGCCGCCCGAGTGCTGAGCGAGCGATTGCTGAGCAAAGAGCTGCCCTAAACAAAATTAAGAGGGAAAAAGCAAAAACCAGCGGAGCAGTGTGTGTCAGAGCTCGGTACAGAGCATCAAACCCCACGAATAGGCCGGTGCAGCCAAGAGGCATCCAAGTCTGCGACCCTGAGCGTCAGCAATTTCAGGTCGCGCACGAGAGCAGTGTTTGCAGAGCATGGAGAGGTCAGGAAGGCAAGAGCCCACGTGCGTGAACTCCTCCACTTTGAGCCGCCCACATGCGATTTTCCGATCGTCACCTTCTGCAACGCAGTGATAGCGACAATCATATGCCATTGCTGAGCCTTTGGTCTTGACGTATAGAACTGGAACTGGTCAAGAACTGCCGGATCTTCAGTGTCGAGCTCCACGTCGTCTGCAACTTCCACCGGATGTTCATGGACGCACGAGCTGCTGGACCATCTTGGCCGGTATAGCCGAGCGGTTGCGGGTGTACTTGAAGACGAGTGGCCCTGGATTCTTCCAGTTGGCCTGGAGCCCGATCTCCTCGGTGCTACGTCCCGCATGAACCGCAGCATCGAGCATTGTGACCCTGGCGGAGTGGGCAGTCAGGTTGTTGACCGTATCTCCTAGTTCTTTGAACTCGGTGTCCGGCCCGTCATGATAATGGGTCAGAGCGTACCGGCCAATGAACTTGAGCCACTGGACGGACCGCTGGTATTGAGCCGGCGCCTCCCGAAATGCTTCCCTAGAGTTGAGGTCTCGCATCCAGAAGTCTCAAGCGAGCCCAAAGTGCTCGTTCTGCAAGAGCTGCCAGCCGGGCCGCAACCAATCTGAGCCAGAAAAACCAACGTGCGGCACCACGAACTTGGTACCACGCCTCTTGCGCTCCACCTTGGTTTGCCAGGCCACGCCAAACAGGCCTTCCTCATTCATGACGAGCTCGTCGGGCCGAACATGCATGGCATCGTCGAACCACAAGGATGCAAACACCATACATAGCCACCACCATGTGAACAGCCTGATGGGCTCAGGTTCCTGATCATCCACCGCAAAGAGCTCCATAGATCTGACGACCTGTGTTGGAATGGGAATCGCCTCCTTCAGAGTGCGGGCCCGCTTGCTGATCACATCCGCTTGGATCGCCAGCAACCCTTGATGATCAAAATCAGGGCACTCAATAGCGAGCTTAGCAGTTACCCATTTAACAGAAGTCCTAAAAGTGGGGATTACAGAGGGACCACACTCACGATTATCTAAATGTAGAGCATATTGGATGAGCGTGGCACTAGTCAAAGGAAAAACTTCGTTCCCTTTGGCCTCTGCCCATTCTGCAAACCGCTCCCAGTTGGCGACATGAGTTGCCATTGTCCTTGGGGCACCTGATGATAGGACGAGCTGCCGCAGGCGAGCAACTTCTGCGTGAGACAAGCCCTTCTCGTTCGCCGTGTCGAGCAACAGCTTTGAAAATGTGCCTGCCTTTCGCCCAATCTCTTCGAGTCTGGCTGCCCACTTCCATCGTGCTGCATTCTCTTGATCTAGCAGCGGCGTGGCCGAGGGAGCCTCGGGGCTAGAACTTCCTTGGTGGATTGACCGGCTTCCAAGTGAGAGCTTTGATTGCGTCAGCCCTACGAGCTCTGGCCGTGGCCGAGCTAATTGGAGGAGCCGGGGCCTCACACAACCCAAAACCGAGCTGGTGGGCCGTAGATTCAAAGAACGCCCATTCCACTGAACAGGCCAACGACCAAAACTGCTCCAGCATAAAAGTCGAGCGAACCAGGTCGTCTCTGATGGCTTCATCCAACTTGGGAGCCCATTCAACCACTTTCTCTACGAACTCATGTGCTGATCCGACCTCCATCGCCGCGACGAAGGCCAAATTGGCAAAGGGAGACCCTTGAACAGCCTTGGCAAACACATCGTCGAACACTGGCAATGAAAGGATCTTACTCGCCCATCTTTCCGGGCTTTGAGCCATGGTTGAACTCCAGCACAACCCATGAGGAAGAGCAAACGCCTTCAACCTAAGGAGCCTCAGCAAATCGGTATATATACTGCATGAGTCCAAAGTAATGTCATATAACCATTAACAAGAGCAACACAGAAAGAACCAGCACTGGATGACTGACCCATGAACCTGAAACAGTCGCTCACAGCTCATGATCCCCCCCTGTGAGCCCAGTGAGGGGCACATGTGAAGAACAACGAAAAGGGTTCACCTTGTGCCTAAGAAGCCTCACAAATATATATAGAGCGAAACTATCTGAGCATATAACCATTAACGAGAGCAACGCAGAAAGAAACAGAACAGGATGACCGACCCGTGAACAAGAAACAGTCACTCGCAGCTCATGATCCCCCTGTGAGCCTAATGAGGGGCACATGTGAAGTGTAAAGAAAAGACCTCACCTTGTGCCTAAGGAGCCTCGCCGATATATAATTAATGCAGAGCTATACAGCATATAACCATTAACAAGAGCAAATCAAAAGGGAACCAGAACCGGTTGGCTGACCCCAACACGGGTCTGTCAAAACCGGCTCACGGCCCCTCTGAGCTCCCACAACCCAAACTGGGGGGCCACACCTCAGCGATCAAACTTGTGCCAATGTCGAGCGACTCAACTCATGTGTGAACATTGAGGAGGGGGAAAATTGTAACTGAACAGAACCTGAAGACCACTCATGTTTTGAGCATGTCTCACAAAGCTCATGTCAAATCAAAATAAAAGACCCACAACTCAGAACACACCAGGCTCACGAGCGTGGACCCAGACAACTGACCCCCAACTATGACCCGACAAAATCCATACGTGCTATTGAAATAACCTTATTGAACAAAACAAGAGCTGCAGAATCCGATGACTGACGATCAAGTCTGTCTCTCGTGACTCACGCACGCTCTGGGGTCCCCAGAACGACTGAGGACGCCGCCTGAGCCCAAAGAGAGCAATCAACACTCAAACAGGGCAATCAGGGTGAGCCAATCACAAAATGAAAAAGGAGGGCTGGTGAGATGCCAACTTCAAGACGCTTCAAGCTCACCCGCACTTCACCTTTTTCACGCGTTGCGACCTGGAGCATCCAGTCAAGATCTGTGGCTACTTGAGCTATTACACCCTGCGCTACTGGCAGGAACTGGAACGTCATAACGATCAAGGACCTCTTCAGCATTCGTCCACTTCTTCCACCACCGGCTCAGGACCAAACGAGCGGGGTACTGACGACGTGGAGCCACCGCCAGAGGATCCTTGAACTGCCCTGACTTGATCCAGAAAAACTTGTGGGGTCACTGCTGCATCTGCGAGTGACCCCTTCGAGCATCCAAGGACCGACGGTGGACGTGCACCACTCCTCCGCCTTGAGCAGATGCTTGTGGAGCTCGTCCAGCCTCTGTCACCGAGATCGGCCCATCGCTGGGTGGTGCCACTGGCAAAGGAGCATTGGAGGGCCCAGTCAATGCCCTCAACTGACCCGAGACCTGATCAGCTGGAATCGCCGCTGGTCCGCCAAGAACAGGAGGAACGACCAAGGCCTTCTGCTCATCCTCTGGCTCGTGGAACTGCAGGGCGATCGCCTCCTTTGGGACGATGACTTTCTGAGCCTGGAGGAACGGAGCTTCGCAGGTGAGGTGGAAGTTGTTCTGATGGGTGTCAACTGCCACTGCACCACTCTTGGACCTGTGTCTGCCACCGTCAGAGCTTCAGTGGCTGCAGTCCAATGAGCGTGAATCCCTGCGAGCTGGCTCCTCTGCATAGTCTGGTCGGGTCCTTCGACCCTGGCATGTCGATCGCGGCACCACTTGGCATTCTGCACGAGCGTAGGCCCAGACACTCTCGACAAGGTGAGCCAAGTCGATGGCACGTTGATCTGAGAGCATGCCACGTCAACTTCATCTCCAGCTGAGCGGAATCTGAACTCCAGGCGGTCGGTATCAACACCAATCGAATCAGCTGAAGACAGAGCTGTCACATCCTGACTTCGAAGTGACAGAGCGGGAAGTCAAGGGCCACAACCACCCCTTGCTCACTGCAGGCACAGATCCTGCCACCCACTTCAAAGCTCACTGCGATCACGCGCCAACCGATGAAGATCGTCACCACCACCGCCGGCACAAAGAGCTCGTCCCGGAGGGAGGTGATCAACCCATCGTTGATGTAGTTGAGCTGCACCGTTATGTCTTGGTTCGAGCGGTAACCCCTCATCTCCAGGTGGAGCAGCAACTGGCCTTCGATCTTGACCTTCACGTCCACCCATGTGGATGAATCATCTCTCATGAGCGGCCACCGGAAGGGCTGGAACGCAGCATGTGATAGGAGATAGGACACCCCCTGTGGCAGAGTCCCAGCGAGCGCAAGGCACTGTCCCATAGCTGGGCATTGATCCAACCAGGATGAACTTGTACCCGTCCATGGCACGCACATAGAAGAGATTCATGTGGTAGCCATTGTTGGGCGAGCGCAGCAACTGGCGATCTGACAAAATGTTGATACCCGATTGGGCATTCAAAAGGATCTCGTCCAAGAGCCAGCCCTGAAATGGGCTCGTGATGATCATGTCTCTGCTGTCAATTGATCAGAACTGATCTCTCGTCCTTCCCCGATCCCAGCTGCCTAACAAAGGGTGGCAGCTGAAAATTTTGAGGACTCAGAGCATTCTGACTCGGCATTTGCCCCCAGCGTACCGAGCGGTGACCCTTGGCCTTGGCTCTGGCTTTCTGCTGGGCAAGCTTCGAAGACTTTGGGATCTGGTTCCCGAGCAGGTTCTTTGCAGCCTGCGTAGCTGGAGCTGTGCCCCACTGAAGGACTGATGGCCCGCTCGAGGCTGCAAAAACTTCTGCAGGGCCACCCATAGTGAACGTAGGTGGCGGCGCATCATCATCGCTGCTGTCCTCCTCCCAAACAGTCTGAGCTGGCATCTGTGCAGGAGCTGCAGATTTCGGCTGAGCAGCCCCTGCTTGTGAGCTCGTTCCCTGACCTTCTGCAACTGCCGACCATGATCCAAC